CTCCCAGAATTATAACTGATCTCCAGATGACAGAGCTCAGTTCCTTTGGAGAAAATGGCTCCTTCGGAGGATGGACTCTACAGCATTGCACCCCGGCTGGGGCCCCTCCCCTTCCCAAACCCCGCCCTCCCCGGGCTTCCCAATCAGGAGATGGCAACCCTAGCTCTAAAGCAGGTATCCAACATTGCCAAGCTTTTGCGAAATTCACATCTGATAACCCATTAAGGCAACATAAACGGGAGCGATAGCAACCACAGTGATGTTTGGATTTGTAATATTATCGGTTTGCAAGTAAAGATGAAGTGGATGTAAGCTGATTTTACTTCACTCAGTTTACCTATGAAATAATTAGGGTGCGTTACGGCTGTAAAAAGGGGCCACGGTGGCTCAGAGGTTAAGATGCTGAGCTGCAGACCAGAAGGTCTGTAGTTCGGCAGTTCGAGACCCGAGTGCCGCATGACGGAGTGAGCTCTCGTCTCTGGCCCCGGCTCCTGCTAACCTAGTAGTTCGAAAGCCAGAGATTGCAAGTAGATGAATAGGTACCACTTCAGGGGGAAGGGAACAGCGTTCCGTGCACCTTGGCGTCTAGCCATATTGGCCACATGACCACGGAAATGTCTTTGGATAGCGCTGGCTCTTCAGCTTGGAAATTGAGATGAGCACCGCAACCCTAGAGTCAGATTCGACTGGCTTTCGAGCAAGGGAACCTTTACCTTTACCTAGGGCTTTAAAACACTACATGGAGTAATGTCTGGTCCTTCTCCGAGGGTTCTGCCAGCCAGAATAAAAAGGATAATCAAGGCTTCGCTTCGCAAATGTCACCCCCTTCTGAACGGACACACTTGACGCGCTTAAGAGGGAAGGCGACTCCTTGAGAATGACTCGTTTTGTCACAAGCCCTAGGTCCGACTCGAATAAATCAAGTTAAATCGATATCCGTTTAATAACTGATCACGTAGACAGAATAATTGTCAGGAAATTCTGGTATGTCAGCACCTAGCTCTGCTGTAACACGGCTTTCAAAAACGTCTGGCGTGCGTATGATGCAAGCACACCACTTCTGATAGAAAATATTATGCTCTCCTTTTTTTGTCCCTTATCTCTCCTCTTTGCTTCTGACACCTTACATATTACATCAGAGGTGTCGAACTCATTTGTCCCGAGGACCAGATCTGACATAAATGTCACTTTGTTGGGGCGGGCCACGTGTGCCATAAAACGTAATGCCAGGTACCGGCAATATAAACTGTATAAAGGACAGCAGCTGGTAAGCTCCGAGTTGGTGTGTCCTCACTGCAAGTCCCCATGGGCTGGGAGGGGGGTGCAGAGGAAAACCCCACATGGGCGGACTGGAGATCCAGCGGTGCAGCACTGGGCAGATGCTCCCACACTGCCTGACTGCTGCAGATGAGGTTGTTCTACCATGCTCTGCCCACGATCCCCCCCCTTCCCTCCCTTGCTCTACTTGCTTGCAGGCCACATAAGAGCCCAGGATGTGCCAGCTCTGGCCCCCGGGCCTTGTGTTTGACA